TGGGTGGGTATTTGTGGATATTGGTGTGGGTGTAAGTGGGTGTGGCTGTGAAGTGCGGGTGGGTGTGGATATGTGTGTGTGGGTGTGGGGTGATGTAGGTGTGGGCGGGTATGGGTGGATGTGGGTGCGGGTGTGGGTGTATGGGAGCGTAGGTGTGTGGGTGTTTATAACTCCATCCTAATGTCCACACCCACACCCCACACCCACACCTCACACCCACACCTCACACCCACACCCACACCCCACCCACACCCACACTCACAACCACACGCAAACCCACCCACACATACACCCTGAGAATGTGGCTATACTATCTGTACCTCTCATACTTCCTCAAAGACATCATCCGATCATCGTTCAAGCTACACTACTTACACTTGTTTCAACATCTCTATTCTGCACCAAATTTCGTTGATAAATATTTGACCATGTATCATTTGGTAATACTACGTTCAATAAATTTTTCCAATCATTTATATAATCCAGATATCTTGAATCAAAGTTGGTGTCACTCATATTCGAATTCACAAGAGTTGTTTCGGATGCAACAAGAGAGACTCCATTATAATTTTCATAGATAAGATTGGAACCAACAAAGGAGACATCCGAAAGATGAATGTTTTTAAAGTTAGCATACACAAGATCAGTGTTAGTAAAACGAACTATACACAAATATGCATCTAGAAAGTCAGCATCTTCTAGTTTAACACTGTCAAATACGAAATTCGGTGTTTCAAAAAAGTTCGAGGCTTCAAAATCATCTGTAGAATAATTCTCGGGACATTCGAAACGTGAACAAATAAAACTGGCACCGGCCATTGCTGAGCCCGTGAAGTTTGCACCGTCTTTAAAGTCACAATCTATAAACGACACGGTAGTAAGATCTACGGACGTTAATGATAAATTTTCAAATTGATATTTGGTTGTTATGAAACTTTTCATGGTAATATTTACAAAGCTGGGCTCAGATAGATCGAGCATTGGTATGTGAGGTAAAAGATGATTTTCATAAAGAAACAGAAACAAATATGCTCTTTCTCTCCCAATCTAATTCACGCAATGCTGTCAAGGTGTTGCTACGAATATGGGCAAATTTTGATTGTTTATCAAGAAAGGTTTGATTAAACTGTTGTTTGAAGATTGTGTTTAATCTATCTTCAATATAGGTTTTGTAGACATTCTGATTGTATAAATTGCTAGCTTGTATTTGATCTTCATAGCAACGACGATCTTCAATTTCTTGGTCCTATTTACGATTTTCAGCGGCAATCTGTTGTTGCTGTACGTAAGTAACAACCGTAAAAATACCGATCATCAATAGAATCAGTGCTGAGAAAACCAAATTAGTCCATGTTATGCAATGTTGTTCCTCTTTTGTTTGCTTCTTCTTGCCATCTGCTGTTGTAGCTGTGTCAAGTGACGATGATGATATAGATGAAGTGTATGATGATGTTTGACGTGTTCGACGCAGACAAAACATCACTAATGCAGATAAAAAGAAGATGCTGAATTGTTTTGATGCTACGAGTCGGAAACGATGAAAAAGTGTACTGTTAAACATAATGTGACTGACAAATCAACATACAGACATATGAAGACTCGCTATCTTTTGAATGTCATCTGCTGCTATTTTATGGCGATTTCTCTTTATTATGTCGTTAACATAACATTTCATAAAATATTATTAACTATTTAGAACAACCAAATTTTATTTGACACGCTCTCTACTGATAACAATACTCAAAAAAAATTTTATTCATTTTCTATGTTGAGGGATGAGGGTGTATTTTATTTATTTATTTTTGTTGAAAATAGTTTATGAACTGTTAAGTGTTAATACTGTGAATGATCACAAATAAGTTGACGCGCCAGTGAAAATTTATTTTATTTTCCTGATAGAGCCTCGTCTCTTCTAAATGCATAGTAAATGAAAAATTCAAATGAGACAATTGTCAAACAAACATTCAATGTTTTCGTCTTACGACATTCTTTAGAGTTACATCCTTCAAAATATAAATCCAATGATTTATATCAGTGTACAAAGTTGCGATTGGGATGTGTTATTACTACTGCTATGTTTCGGTAATAGCTTTTTCATTTCATTGAGAAACATCAAATACGTATTGGTCGATAGTGATGCAGCATGTAATTCCTTTGTTTCAGAACGAAGCGTTTGCAACATTAATGGAGAATTGTTACAGCATAACTTATATAAATCTATTAATCTTTTTCCATCCATGAATTGACATATCGGTATCATTTGATTAAGCTGTTTTTCAAGTAAAAAGTCACGAATATTGGCTGGAGTCCATTGAAGTACATTTATGGGATAAGAGTAGGTGACACACTCTTTTCTAAAATAAAAATACATCATCGTGTAAAAGTAGCTATTGTCGTGTTCATTCAAAACAGAAACGATCCATTTCTGTGAGTTCTCATTGTCTGGAGTTACTGTTACCGAGGACAATTTTTCAATATCTATTCGTATAACTAACAGGTGACCTATAATAAATGGCCGCACTTTGCATTGCATATTTTAATGTCTAAATACGTCTTATTAAAAAAATATACCACAAGATGCAGTGCGAAAATCTCTACAATTTACACAGTAAAGCTTATTGTAATTGTTTTCAAAAAAATCAAAATTCTTTATGACCAACTTTTGCACGATCGAAATTTGGTCACACAAAATTTTGTCCATTTTGAAAAACAAAAACAAAAACTATAAAATGATCGGTCCAATGTAAATTGTAGAACTTTTCACGCTGCATCTTGTGGTATATTTTGTTTTTTAATAAAACGTATTAGATGATGAAAAAATAAAATGCAAAATGCGGTCATTCGTTATGGGTTACCCGTTATTTGTATCTAATGTAAATTTTATAATGGATATGGACAAGAAGCAAGAATCATTTCAACAAAGAGTATCTCAACGACTTAAAAATTGAATCATACCTCTCTACTACGGCATCTTTAACGTTTGGTTGTGATAATCTTGGTGCAACATCTTTTTCATCAACTGGATTTTGATGAAATTGTGACATAAGTTGAGCATAAGCAGTCTCGAAATTCAATTTGATAAAATCCACATACATTCGACCAGATATTGTAAAGGCTAGCCAACCTTGGGGTTTATAACCGATTTGAACTCGCAATGGAATCAAGATACGTCGCTTTTCAAATGCATACTGTGCTTCAGCTTGACAATAAGGACTGACAGCATAACTATCACTCATACAGATGAGAATATAACGCGATTGTTCAATTGCTTCAGCCATTGCTTGCATCATGATACCATGCATTCGTTCAAGATCGATCCATACGCGAAAATTATCGGCAACGAGAGCTTTGTGTATTTGATGGCATAGATCTTTGTCTTTATGAGAATATGATATCATTACATCGTATTGAAATTTCGTTTCAGTTGTTTCATATTTTGGAAATAATCGCCATAAAATACCATCGACAATTTTTTGTAATTCAGGCGATTTCGAAGAAGTGACCAGTGTTCGTAGATACTGAATAAAAGTGCTATTATTCTCAAGTAAAATTTTGATTTCATTGTTAAAAGTGAGTGACATGAGAATGTTCAGTGAACGTAATTGTATTTTTGTACCTTCGAATTGAAATTCAGTTGCACATCGCAAGAGAAGAGGTAAACCATCCGTTTGCCTGGCAAATTCCCCTCGAATTTGATCATGTTGAATGAGAACTATAATCAAATAAACAAAATTTACGTAGAATTTTTGAAGTCGTCTTTGTCTACTTACTTATCAAAGTGAGAAGTAAATTTTCTAACCGTTGTCTTAGTACGATGACATCAATCGTTTTTTTCATATAAGTAATGAATACAGTGATAATTTGAGCTGGATTCGCTAATTGTTTAATATCATTATCAGTAAGAACAGCGGCTAATGTTCGATAAGCATGAAATTGAGTTTTATCATACTTCGCTTTAGTAAGTCTGATCAGAAGTGGTGTAATATTATTTTCTTTTAGCTTATCACGAAGTTCCGGTAAGAATGTTGTAGTATATATGTAAAGAGTACTATAGCAAAAAAGTCGATTTACTCGATATTGACGCTTGTCTGAAGTTGAATCTTGATTCGCAACATCCCATAATTCTTTTCCTTGAACAATATTCAGTACATAATCAAGAATTTTTTTATGTTGTAAATCGTAAGCTGGTAGAAGATTTTCATTACCACATCTTTGACAAAGTAAAATCAGTGAATAGATAGACCAGATGACTGGCTCTTGCCAATTATCAATTGATGGTAAAAAATGTTCGAAGATTTCAGACGAACGAGTCAATGTGACTTGTGCTATTGCAGAGAAAATTTCTTCTTGAAGTTGCCCCCAATAGGCTTTAATATATGTTGGACATGTCACAAGAATGAGTTTTTGAAAAGATGTCAATTGATCTTGTTTAGCTGATAATTGAAAAAATGAATTTTTATATTCATTTGATTTGAAAAAGTTGACAATAGGCATGATCAATGTCGAAAGAATTGGATCATCTTGAATAGTTGGACGATCGTCTTGAAATTTTTGATATGCATCAATCATATGTTCAATACTACCAATTAGATGATCATTGGCTGTGGGCGAGAGATTAGTGAGAGATTCAATTAAACATTCAGTTAGATTCGAATCCGCAAAGAACTCACGAACAAGTTGGATATTTTTATCGTTAGTATGATTTGTTAGTTGAGAGAATAATTCACCGATGCGACATGATAGAGTAAAATTATCAGCGGATTTTTCAAGATTATTAATAAATGTATTTCGAATACGAATGAAGAATGGATGATCAATAATATGGATACACTTCGAACTTATCTGAATAAGTGCATTCACAATCTCGCCTAGATATTCATGATCATCTGCTGGTGCTCTGCTCATAATATCATCGAAGTAAGACTTCAGTTCCTTCTCATTATCATCGTCCAATCCACGAAGCGTCGATAGAATTGTTGAAGACATATTAGAATAGTGGTCTAGTAATAGAAGAATCACTAACTTGTTTTTAATCGAGGTACGATATTATACTAGTTGTATATTTGGTATGTCATACTGTGAGTGAAGAGCGACGAATAGATTGTTTCTTCTCATCAAACTACATGCGAGAGCTATTTTACGCCGTTCTTTTTTTGTTTTCATCAAGAAAAAAACTTGTCGTTCTGTTGATTGCATGGTGACGTCTCTCTTCTAATATTTCATGTTGCTT